AACTGGTGAATATTCCAACTTTTACAAAAGACAAGTAAAGGACCTATTCCAGAATGGTACTTGTCAATAATAAGGAAGACACAAGGAAACAAGCTAGAACAGCTCATAAGGTCTTGAAAAAAATTGATTAAAGTGAAGTTTAGAACATCCAATACTCAATTTTAACCTTGATAAAAGACAAAAACTTTGAGTGGTTACTAAGAGCAATAATTAGCATCAACAACTTATTTGAGGAAAATTTATTCTAGATAACAATAAAAGATACATTAAAATAGATTATTTCAAATGTGACAGCTCCAAAAAAATTTAGAATCAAACCTGATGCAATGTCAGGACTACCCAGAAAGAATTAAGGCTGAAAATCAATATATATAGAATCAAATATATAACAAACATATATGGTTCCTTATCTTAATTCTAGAAAATCTACAAGAAGAGCTCAACTTTTAAAAATCTCTTGTTCCAAGATAGCCCTAGAGAGAACAATAAGTAGAATCATTTATATAGACTCAGTAACTACACAATGTGATAGAAGGCAACTAAAAGAAGTAGAGATAGAGGATTGGAAGAAAAAGCTATTAAAGAGAATATTAAAAAATGTATATATCAAACCTATCTGATTAAAATACTCAGGTGTAACAAAGGGGATAATAACAATAACATAATATGTCAACCTTTTACTCTAACAGATTTCTTGTTGATCATGGAAATAAAAACATGAAGATAAATATTATATGAATACAAATTAAAGAAGCAGGAAGGAAAAGCAAGTTCCAAGTAGGAATAACTAATTGGCCTTTATCTACGAGAGTAGAATTAGTAGCAATAGTTACTATACTGCTAGTAGTACCAGTTAGTAGCAAGATCAAGATCCACACTGACAATCAAGCTTGCATCTCTAAATGAAAAACTATAGAAAAGGAAAATCCCAAAAAAACTTATAAAAGATGGCTAAAGGAATAAATTGATTTTTGTGGATATGAATATTGAGCCTGATAAAAAAAAAAGAAATAGATCTAAATCTTATCAAGATCAAAGCACATTTTAATATTCAATATAATGAGAAAGTAAACACTTTAATCAAAGAAGTGTTAAAGTTTTCAACAATAGAATAGCAAGATCTAATCTTAACTAATATTATTATTAAAATTAAATAGCATGATATAGTGCTAGATACACCAATAAGACAGTTTGTTAAAAAAACCAATGCTAAAATAATGATACACTAATGAATAACCCAAAATAGAATAGACAAAAAGTGGGGTTATCAAATCCAAAATCAGAATAGGCATACATAGGTAATGATGGGTCCCTAAAGTATTTAGTATATAAAATTTTACAGATCACTTATGTCCCTTTTTGAGGGACAAAATTCATGGCTCTTTACTTTAATAGGAACAAAAGTTAAAAAATGTTATAAATCAATAATTTGGATAATGGAGAACAATTGTGGATAGTTTTTAAATAATTATTAATTTAAAATTTTTAATATTTTCTAGTAAGGAATATTTGATTTTTATCCTTACCTCTTCCTTTAGGAATTCATTTTTACATATAAGACTTAGTTTGGGAACAAATTAATAATGGGCATATATAGAATATCTCTTTTAAAGAATTAAAAAGAAAAAGCTTTCTTGTTAAGATAACTAGTAACAAGTTATCCATGTTAACAAAGCTAGTCACAAGAAAACTAGACTTATACAAGCAAATAAAATGTCTCACATATGAATATCAAGAAGAAACAATAGAATACTTGTTAGAATGTTCAGTATACAAAACTCAGTGAAAAGAAACCTGGCAGAAGGATATGGAAGATATGATACAAGGTTTTAACAAATACTTAGCAAATAGGAAAAAAAAATTAAAAGAAAATGAGATAAGTTTAGTAGTTGATAATAGAATAGATAAAATGGTTAGATCTTAATCTTTATCAGAATTTGAAAGAATGATCTGCAGGTAATAATATTAGAAGTTGGAAAGGTGTTTATCCGAACTCCTAACAGAGCAATAAATTACTCCTAAAATTGCACTTAGAAAGATAAAACAATCAAAATGAGGAAGTTAATTAAAAAATTAGTTTTAGCATCTTATATTATATGTATAATTTACAAATGTTTAATAAAGCATATGTAACTAGTTTGATAAAGGGCAAATATATATATATAACTAATTATTTTTTCCACTTATTTTTTGACCATATACAAAAAAAATGGTACAAGAAGTTTTTTTTTGCTAATAAAGTCTTAATACTTTTCATAAAACAACTTAAAGTCTGACTTTAAGAGTTATATTTATTTTTTTCTATTGTTTACAAACCTTTTTATTCAAAAATTCAACTTTTAGTAGCAAAGAAAAGTTAAATAACACTTTTGATACTAATGACAAGAAAGTTTTCAAAGAAAAAAAACTGATTGTGAAATATATGAAGACTCTTTTAACTTTTGAAATAAGAGATTTATAAAGGTTTTGTTATAGTTAAAAGACTTATTTTCTTTTTTTTTAAACTGGTTTAGTTCTTTTAAAGCTTTCATTTTTATGGTTTTCTAAAAATTTTTACCTATTTCAGTTTAATTCTGAATAATTAATTGATATAAAACATATTAGTTTTTGAAATATAAATAAGTTTTTATTAATTACACTCACATGTTCTTATAATATTATTGATAATTGAAAAGAATGTTCTGAAAATATTTATTTACAAAAAGCTCAAGTTTCTTAATAAAGGCTTATATAATATCAAAAGATGAAGTGATAGATAATATAAATTGCAAATTCTTATCTCTTATTTAAGTTCCTTAGGTGATAACAAAGCTTTAATAAAAAAAAACTAAGGTTTAAATGTTTTTCTTGAGATATTATCCATACTTATTTAAATGAAAAATTAGTTGGATTGATTTATTCAATGTCATAGATAGTAAAAAAGAAGATTTATTTTGAAATTCAAATAAAGCAAAAAACTATTATAATCAGGCAAATCCCTTTTAAGAAAAGATCATTTTATTTTTGGACTTTTTTGATAGGTCTTAAATTGTTTTCTTCCCTTAATAAATTTTCTTTTTTTTTCTTTTTAACTTAGCAATTTATTGGATTTCAGGTTAATTAACTATAACAAACTATTTATAATAATTTTGATAAATAGAGGTTATTATCAATTATCAGAAAACTGTAATATTGTCTTTAAAATTTGACTTAATATACTTATGTATAAAGATGAGTTAGTCTCTTTGTAAAAGTTTGTAAACTATTGTAGATTTGTTTAAATTTCTCAATAAAAACAAGCTATTGTGACACGAATGATTACAGGTTAAAAAAAAATACTAAATTTTATTAAAATAATTTATTATTGTAATCTTTTTATTAATATTTTTAAAATAACTAAACTATTGGATTATATTTTTCACAAAAAACAAATAGTTAAACTTTTATTGTTTTTATTATTTTTAAAATTTTTATAATTTTTATAATTTTTTTTACTATTGCAAAATTCATTTATATTAACTATATTAAAATAACAACGATTTATTCAATAGTATTATATATTAAATTTTTAATTTGGATTATAACAGTTAAATTGTTTAAAGAAAAACTATATCTTATATTATTTAAATATAATATCAAAAATTAAAAAATTATTATCTAAAACTTGAATTTAAATGAATATTAAAAAAGTTAAAATTAAATTATTATTGAATTATTATAACTTATCTTTATAAATTAACTTATTTATATAGAAAATGAAGAATTGTGTATATTTATTGATGAACTAGAAAAAAAAAATATCAAATTTGAAAAATAATCAAATCAAATGAAATATATAAATAAACCTTTTTTAAAAATCAATATTTTTAAAAAAAAAAAGATTAAATATTTAAAGAAGAAAATTGATTAGCTTAGATTTATAGAATTTATAAAACCTGAAATTGATTCTATAATAATTTAAAATATAGAGTAATTGAGATATTCTAATTCAAAAATCATTGAGTTTAAAATAGTATTAAAGAATTTAGTTTAAAAAAGATAGTAAAGAAACAAAAACTAATAAAATTAATCAAAGTAATTATTAAAAAATAAGCTAAAAATCTGAAGAAACGAGAGTTGAAAGAAAACCTTATTTTTATATAACTTCATAGCTCATTATTTTAATCCTATAATTAGTGTGAAACTAGAGATTCCATTTTTTATAATTTAATTTTTATGAATACTTCTTGATAAATTTAAACTACTTGAAGATCTGAAGTTTTATTATCTTTGTTATTGATCCACAGGTCAATAATATTATAACTAATAATAATAAATAAAATATGAGAAAATAATCTATGGATTTATAGTATAGTGATAATACTTCCAGGTTACTAATTACAAGGTCTCAAATTCAATACTGATCAAGTTTGCTAGATGGTTTGTGAAAGTTATAGTATGCAGAAATCATTTTAAATCAAGTTAGGCTGTATAAATATAAGACTTCTGACCTTCTATCAATCGCTAAAATCTACAGTTATACTGTCGAAAGAATTGTAAGAAGAAAGATTTCTGATTTAGCAAAGTTGAGTTAGTCATCATGTAATAGTTAATAATAATATTGGAGATGGTTATTTAAATTTTAATGATTGGATTGGTGTTTATATACGCTTCGTAAATTACACAGAAAAATCACGAGCTAGAAATTGCATTGCTACTGTACATTATTTGTTACTCGCTCCGTCCAACCGTCTACCATTAAATGAAAATCCCTTCAAACCATTGTCGCATAAAATAATAATTCAACTATGCAAAGAACAAATGTAATCACAAATCAAGAATCTTAGTATAAACACGCGATAAAAATTGGATATTTACAGTATATTCTAAATAAAAATCCGGGATCAGATTATATAAGAATAATAGAAATGTGATACTTTCTTTTTGTGGATAAGAAATGTAAGATATAGTATACTGGTAAAAGACAAATGTATAAATTTATATGACAAAGCAAATAAGAAAGTTGTTGCTTAAATAAATAACTATGATTTAAACTTCAATATTGCTACCACAAGCGGTAGCGCAGCCTCCATAAGTCGTGTAAATTGTTCTACGAGATTTGGTTTGGTCTTTTCCTGGAGATCTATGGTTTCCTCGAGATTTCTATTTAATTGGGATAGAAGCTGGTTTTTTTCTTCTCGTTCTCTGCGTCTTGTTTTCTTTTCTCTTAGCCTTTTTGGAAGATGCAACATTGATGGCAACGGTGTTTGTAGTTTTTCGTCTATCTCGTTTATTCTTCTTTTTAATCGATCACTTTCTGCTCGTAACTCTTTTATTTGACTTTTTGCCATAATGATAACTCTAATTAGTTCGAAAGACAATCGGTTATTGATGCGAAAATATTTAGATAAACGAATGTAGAATAAATGAGGTAAAAATAGAAACGTCAAAATACTTTTCTGTTGGTATAAATGATTTTTGCTAGGGGATGTATGACGTTTTCGAAGCGTGCTCAAGTTACTGTAGTCTTTAAAGAATGATATAAAATGCCTGAAATTTTTCAGAAATTCCTTTATAGGTTTTTTAAACAATTTTATTAGGCAATGTTTTATCGTTGTTAGAGTGCCTAAAGTCTGTTTTATAAAAGAATGTTTTAAACGTCCGGCGTTTATAAGTTAATAATAAAAGAATAGAATTTAGGAATCCCTTAATAGGTTTTTGAAATAATGATTTGCTGGGGGGTTAACATTTTTCAAAGTGTGCCTAAAGTCGTGGTTTTTGTAAAAAAGAAAATGATACTGCGCCTAATAATAGCCTACTGCCTTATTTGCTCTTCAAAGGACAACTTTGGTATTTTGGCGTGTCCTATAGAAGCTATTATTTTCTAATATATCTAATACCAACAAGAATAATATTAAAATAGGGCATGACCTTCCATGGCGGCTGTATATATAGGTGATACGATTTTTATAACGCCGAAAATGGCTTTTGTTTTTACTTTCAATCATTTCTTTCATGCGTTTTATTTTATGTGGTGATACAGCTTCTAAATCTGATTCATTACATGTTTTTAGTTCTTAATCTTGTCTTCCTTGCATTATCAATTAAACTAAGATCTGGTGACCATTCCATTCCATTGTTTTCATTTGCATTTGATTTCGGTAATAAATTATTGAATGAAATATTCTGTTTAACAGTTGCTTGTGTATTATAGTTATGATGCTAAACACGAGACTTTCCACTTGAATTGATTCTTATACAGTATCCATTAATAAAACTTGTTTATTAAAACTACATTCAGATATAGAATTTTATCAACCGTTGCTTTTTTTTTATTCTTCCTTTTGAAATAATCGATATTCTCATTTCCAGGGATCCTTTTGCGCCTATTCAGCACAAATTCTGTATCGCATTCTTATAAATGAACTTTAAATTATTTCGAATTCAATCCTAATTTTGTGCCACCCTTTTATGCGCAAAAAATGTACACAAGCATCATTTGGTTAATTTAAATCGCGAATATTTCTGAAACCATCTATACGTAATAGTGGTGTGCAAATATGAAATTACATCCGCGCTACAAGTTTTTTTAGAACTTACCAACTTGTAAATAACTCTGATATTTTCTTTTTGTAAAAATCATATTTGTAATTTTATGATGTTTTACAACTTTATTGCATAACCTTGTCTGCCTTCCGTAGCAGTAGTAGCACATAATCTCTTGATAAATGGTCTTAATTTGTTGGTATAACCGAACTAAATTTCGGGATAAAAGTTTATTGATATACGTAGAACGTATTGCTCGATCTTTTTTAGTAACTTATTTATCCAAAATGAAATCTTCTGCTGCCAAGAGTAGCTCAGGTATAAATTCGAAATTGTATTAATGGTTAGATTATTGTCTCTTATCATAAACCTTAGGTGTTATATGATATTTGCCAGAGGCAAAATTTATGTAGGTGAAGTTTCGATATACACACCCCTACCATAAATTACCGGAACACAATTGATGATTATATCTATAAAAACCAGTTCAAAAAAATAAATTTACAAGCAAAAAAAGAGATCAAATAATAGGTACCTTTCTTGCAAGTTCAAGTGGTCCAAAGATATCAACTGCACTCACACAACAGTATATGACATTATACACCATTACAAAATAACTGATTTTTCATATTCTCAAAAATAATTTGGTTTATCATAAACACACATATAGCAAGACTATACTAGATTGCTACAAAAATAAACAATCAAACAATTATTAGTAGAAAACAAAAAAGAATTAACAATGATTGAACACTATATAAGCATTATACACAAGTATCTAATCTCTCACCACTCTATTAAAGTGAGAAGTGTAATATCAATCAAAGTAGTAAATCCAACTTAAAGTATATATTTATAAATGTCAAATAAAATTCAACAACAATATAGATATAATGCAACAAAATATCAATACAACTCAACATTATAGGAGCAAACACAATTTTCAAAAACAAAGTTTTATCAAACTTAATATTAATAGCATTTATAGGACAGAAATATAAATCATTACTCAAAAAGCAAAAGTTTTAATAATAATAATAAATTACTATATATAAACAATAAGAAAGATACTATATATTACATATCACATCACCAATAAACTGGTAAATGTTACAAAGTAAATTCAAAATAATATTAATTTTAAAATAAATATAAATAACTTTATATCACAATATTTTATTTTTATTTTTTATTTAAGAACTGGCTCATTCCATATCTTCTCCAGTGCTTTATTAAGAAAAGATCATATTTAGAAATAATTAAGATTAATATTTCCCTATACTGTCTGAGGATTTATAAATTACTAGAGAAAAATAGAACAAAGAGCTGTTTATTTTTATGACTCAATCTACAGTATATCTAACTTGACCAGGATAAGAAAAATACATGACTGTCTAGTGTAAATATTTTTTTTTTGAAAACAAAGTTAAGGATAAATAAGATATATAGGTTGTACATTGTTGACCCATCCCCATAATCAGGAATCAACATTATCTAAAGTACACTAATGCACTTACCGATTGGTTTGTTGCCACCCACTGATAGGACATAATATATTAAAATTTATTTAAGATTCTCAATACTCTCTGATATTGAGGGTCTCTTGTACTAGTCTTATAACTAGTTAGTATTAAAAAAAAAATTAAAATAAAGAGAGAAAATTGAAAATATTTACAAGAAAAGGAAGTAGAAAAAAGAATGAAAGAACATTTAACAACAGCTCTTTCACTTAATTTTGCCTTTACTTTATATAACAATATGATAATCAATATCTTATAAGATTTAAATAAATAATAATTATAAAAAAAATTAAGTCCCAGTTTTACAATTATATAAAAGGATTGCTATAATAATAACAATAAATATTCTTTTTTTTAAAAAATAAAATCAAAATCTATATAGACAAGTAGATAATCATTAATAGCATCCCAAAAATAATAAAATCAAAACTATATTTATAACTTGAAAAAACAAAAAAAATCTAGAAATATTACAATAAATAAAAAATATAATGATAAAAAATCTATTTAAACTTGAATTTATAAAAGTAAAAACATATTTATAAAACAGATATAACAAATAGATAAGCAAACTAATTAATATAAGTACTCAATATAATATAACTTTAAAATAAATAATAATTCATATTCTTTTTATATAGAATTAATAATATATATTAATTATTCAATAGAATTATAAAACAATAAAAATTTTAATTAAGAAATTAACAAAAGAATTAATTAAAATAATATACTTGAAAAAATAGAAATTTTTGAATAGTACAAAAAATAAATTTAATAACAAAACAATCAAAAATATCTATTAACTATAAATAATAAAAATCTATAACTAATATAAATAAATAAATACATAATTAACTAAAAAAATTAATAATAAAAAAGTTTAATTACAGTTTTTAAAATAAACAACTTCTCACAAAAACCAAGTTCTTTTAATACCTTTCCATTTTATACAAAAATAAGAAACGCATTTTCTACAAAAACAAAAAAATAAATATATATTTATTTATATATTGTAAATAATAAATAAAACAAAAAAACCCAGTTTAATAATCTAATTAATATAATTTGTTTTTAATAGGCTCATATCTAACTTTATTGTTTTTCAAATTACATATATATATTATACAAAGCATGAGTACAAGAATATATATTTGAAGACAATAAAAATAATAATAAGTTAAAGCTATTTCTAAAGCTATATCAAAGCTTATTGCCTTTTCTTTTATAAAAGAAAAACTAGCATTTCTAGAGTGTACCGATGTCATAAAAATAAATTAAAAAAAAATAAAAGGAAAAATTGGATGGTTATGTGCCACTTTGAGCAAGTGTTAGTCTTGTTTCTTGATACATACTTATTTTGCTCTAGATTTACCTGTAGAAAGATTTGGTAAGATAAACTTCTATTAAGTCTTCTTTATAGAAATAAGTTGGAGATCGAAAGGAAAACATTACAGTTTTAAGGCTTATAGAAAGGAAGTAATCAGGAAAGCCCAGGTGATATATTAGTATTCACATAAGCAACTCAAAAGTCTTCTAGTATATTATCAATTAAATCTATTTCTATTTAAATATAGGTATATTTACCTATCTATGCCTCTTATTTCAAATTTAATTTCTTATAAGAAGGATAATACCTAGTCTTGTGGTAAACATATCCTGCTGGTGACTATTGATATTGGTAATAATGAAGATCTCCCAGATTATCTAGCTGGCTCACACATCACTGCTAACATTTTCAAATTCAAGTTTCAATTAGTAAAGTAATATTAGCCTTCTAGTCTTCTAGTTTGAGATTTTTTGAAAATAGGATAAAAACTTTTTAGGTTGCTTTGCACACGAGCTTTGCTACTGAATATCCCTAATGACTTTCTGCTTTCTCTAGTTTAGACTTTTCAGAGCAATAGAGGTTGAGAACCTACCGATATACAATTAGGATATAGGTGGCTTTGACTTGAAAAAAAGTCAATCGAACTTTTATAACTTTTGTTATGGTTAAACAAACTCTTTCTTGTATTCAATAATGTATAGATAGTATATCCTGTATTCATTTGTATCAATACATATGACTTATGGTGGACCTAGGTTCTTATGGAACTGAGAAAATGTATTTAGACATGTGAGATAACCAATAGAAGCTTGTTTATCATTATTTTTTAATATATTTTATGTCAGCCAATCAGAATCATTAAGATCTATGCTACTCAAAATTTTAGAATCAAGCTGAAATAGATAAAATTTCCCAGAATGCTATGAAAAAAATAAGTCCTTTGACTGGAATAGAA